ATTACCGTCAGCATCAAGTGGGTCGGCCTCTTCACGATTGCCTGGGTTGGAATCTTGACTCTCATACAACTATGGGTGTTACTTGGTGACACCAAGACTGTTACCATGCGCATCTTTGCGAAGCACTTTCTTGCCCGCGCTTTCTGTTTAATCATCATCCCGGCCACTTTCTATATGGCCATGTTCGGTATCCACTTCCTCTGCTTGGTGAATCCCGGTGATGGTGATGGATTCATGAGCTCCGAGTTCCAGGCTACCTTGAACAACAAGGGCATGCAAGATGTGCCAGTCGATGTTCTTTTCGGTAGCCGTGTCACCATCCGACATGTTAATACTCAGGGAGGCTATCTTCACTCTCACCCCCTGATGTACCCAACAGGAAGTCAGCAGCAGCAAGTCACCCTTTATCCGCACAAGGACGACAATAACATCTTTTTGTTCGAAAATCAGACTCAGCCATTGGATGCTAACGGTGAACCTATCAATGGCACTCACGCTTGGGACAATGTGAAGAACATAACCGAGAACTACATTAAGGACGGTGATGTTGTCCGGCTATACCACCTGGCCACTCACCGCCGCCTCCACTCTCACGATGTTCGACCCCCTATCACTGAGGCTGATTGGCAAAACGAAGTATCTGCCTATGGATACGAAGGATTCGCCGGTGATGCCAATGATTTATTTCGCGTTGAAATCGTCAAGAAGCAGTCTCTGGGACCCATTGCCAAGGAGCGTCTCCGCACCATTCAGACCAAGTTTAGGCTCGTTCATATCATGACTGGCTGTGTTCTCTTCTCTCACAAGGTCAAGTTGCCGGAATGGGCATCCGAACAGCAAGAAGTTACGTGCGCAAAGGGCGGCACCCTTCCCAACAGCCTATGGTACATTGAATATAACGCACACCCCGCGCTGCCTCCTGATACCGAAAAGGTGAACTATGTTAACCCTGGTTTCTTCGGCAAATTCTGGGAATTACAGAAGGTCATGTGGAGGACAAATGCAGGCCTGGTTGAGTCTCACGCTTGGGATTCTCGACCCGAGTCTTGGCCAATTCTTCGTCGTGGTATCAACTTCTGGGGCAAAGATCACCGCCAAATCTACCTGATGGGTAACCCCATCATCTGGTATACGGCAACTCTTGCCGTTATTATTTACGTGCTGTTCAAGGGTATTGCGGTTCTTCGATGGCAGCGCAGCTGTAATGACTACTCCAACGTCAACTTCAAGCGCTTCGACTACGAAATCGGAACTTCGGTGCTCGGATGGGCTCTACACTACTTCCCGTTCTACTTGATGCAGCGTCAGCTCTTCCTACATCACTACTTCCCTGCGCTGATTTTCGCCATCATGGCATTCTGCCAGATTTATGACTTCGCAACAGCTCGACTTGCAGGCGTCAGGGGAAACCCCATCGTCAACAAGGCCGGTGTTATTGCGCTCCTGGCTATTTCCGCCATTGTCTTCGCCCTGTATTCGCCTCTTGCGTACGGAAACGCCTGGACTAAAGCCGAATGCAACCGTGTAAAGCTTTTCAATACCTGGGACTGGGATTGTAATACTTTCTTAGAGAGCGTGAGTATTCCTCCCCAAGGCATGCCGTTGAGAGGGCGAGCTTGAATATAGATAATACGTATGTTCCTGTCTCTATCTGGACTATTCAATACGGATATAGAGCACATATGAAAAGGTATACAAATTTTCGAACGGGCGATTTACTAATCATATTGCCTATATAGTACGACGCATACTCGTCCCTTGGCGCAACTCCGAGCTTTTCTCAGACTCCTCAACCCGTTGCAGGTAACAAGCAGCCACCAGTTCAACAACCCCCAGCCGGAAATAACCAGGAGGCCCCAAACGCGGGCATCTCAGGAGCGCCTAAGTTTGAGCCACAAGGTCAACGAGTGATTGGACGAGAGGAGCGCGTCGAATACCGAGACCAGGACGGCAACATTCTCAACGAAGAACAGGTCAAGGCCCTAGAAGGCAAGGTCGAATTCAAGACTAGGTACGAAACGAGGACACGCGTAATCGACGCCAATGGGAACGAAGTCGAAGTTCCGGTAGAAGAGCTAGCCGCTGCCGGCGTCGCGCCGCCTCATCCTGATGTTCAGGGAGCCAACCAGGAGACTAAGCAATTAGTCAAGGATGACCCGATACCTCAGGAAGCGTCATCAAGTAAGGATGGCGAGAAGGAAGCCGAGAGGTCGATCCCCAAGCCTGCCAGCGAGGGCAATGAGGCGACAGTTTAAGCGTCTTAACCCGTCGCATCCCGCCCCTAATTTGACTTCACGTCCAAGCATTGTAGGATCACGACGAAGAAAACTCTCCACTGGTTTTGGTTCTTTCTGAATGTATAGCATACGGCGGTGTCGGACGGCGTGTCTGCTGGGCTCATGTATACCACCATACTAATGAAGATCACGGAGGGGCAAAAACTCGGGGAATGCTGAATGCAAACAAAAAAGAAGTTAAAGAGAGGATATCGGCGTGAAGGTCCTGCAAAGACTTAAAACTACATGTCAGTTACACTTGCTGATCGCTACCTATTTCCTTTAATCAGAAGATTTTCACTATGATTATATGCCTTCAATTGGCAAGATGAAAGAGACGATGCGAAGGTATTCGTCATTATGATCAAGAGTAGGAGGGTTATCATGCATCTCTAACAGGAATGACTTGTGACTAGGTTTCAACGGGCCGTAGCTCCGTCGTACGGAAGTGAAGGGTATACAGTCCGACTTCCCAATCGCGACAGATCATTCCGGGCATTCAGATACATCCATGATATATGTAGTACGTTCCGACTTCGTTCAGCAGCTTCTAGTTCGTAAATGTGCGGGGAGGTCTTATCAGGCACTATTTAAATACGCAACAGAACCTCAGAACAGCTAAAAAGATTTGGGGCAGCTTAATTCAATACAATCGTAAACTTCACCCTTCCCTCCCAATGTCACAGAAAACTGAAGTTTTAATATCATGCCATTGCGGTGCTGCAAAACAGACTGTAGGTTTGTGTCCGCCAGAGTCACAAGCGACGCCGGGTCGGATAGACATTGATCTCTGCCATTGTCATGCATGCCGCCATAGCAGCGGCTTACTATGTGTCTCGTACGCACCCATCCAAGCACCGCCATCCCTGAGCAGCCTCAGAGTATACCCTAGTGAGTCGGCGCAGTCGTCCTCTAGGACTACTCTCAGTCGCTATTTCTGCAATACTTGCGGCTGTCATGTCTTCCAGCACAAACAAACCTCTGCCGATGGTAACGAAGAAGTTGATGAATTTTGGGCTGTGGCTACGGGTATCATCATTGGGCGAGCTAGGGTCGGGAATGATGAAGAACCAGTTGGAACCGGTGATGAGGAAGAGGAACCGCTCCTGAGAAACGCCAGGCATGTTCATACTGCCGACACCAAAGATGGCGGGTTATCCCGATTTATCAATGTAGATTCCGTCGAAGAGCCGAGAGGGCTAGAAAACCATGGCCTTGAGGAAGCACCGTCACCAGACGTTTCATCGAATCCTTCAAGAGACGAGGAGGGTAAAGATGTATTACAAGCGCACTGCTACTGCAAGAACGTACGCTTCCGCATCACGCGCCCCGACGCCTCAAGCCGGCTCCCGCACTCCGGCTTCCCGGACCTCATGATACCGTTCAAGACCTCGCCGCGCGAGGTAGTCACCAATCCGCAGAACGAGAAATGGTGGCTCTGTCCGCAGGGCGACCCGAACCCGACCAGATATCTCGCCGGCACTTGCGCCTGTCGGTCCTGTCGCTTGACCTCCGGTTTCGAGATCCAGACGTGGGCGTTTGTGCCGCGAAGCAATATTTTCTTCCTTCCCCCTTCCTCTCAATCTTCTTCTTCGCCTGCATCGTCTAATGCCATCCCGCTCGACTTCGCTACTCTCCCGCCAGGCATTCTCCAAAGCTACCAGAGTTCCCAAGGCGTCCTGCGCGAGTTCTGCCCGCGCTGCGGGGCCACGGTGTTCTGGCACGACCGCTGGCGACCCGATCTCATTGATGTGAGCCTTGGGCTCCTAGATACTCCCGAGGGGGCCCGGGGAGAGCGGTGGTTGGAGTGGTGGTACGGGAGAGTTAGTTTCGAGGAGGATGCTGACAATGGACGGTTCGGGGGGGCGGCGAGCTGGGCAACGAATTTGGTAGGCAGTTTAGCTCAGGGGTTGAAGCGGTGGGGAGATGGGAAAGGGAAGAGGAGTTGAGGTCAGCGAAAGGGGCCATATGAACTTGTTGGATGAAATCTACTTGGCCAGATTTTGGTTATCTTGTCCTAACAACTGTTTGATTCGGAGACGGCTTTCTATGTGCGTGTCGCTTTTATACCACTGTTCACGTTCTTCGAGAATTCTAAAGGCTAGAGGTCGATCAATCGAGTCTACATGGACCGTTCTAGCCTGGAAGACGTTCTTGACAATCTGCAATACATAATCCGCAATATCACTAGTCATTATATCGGAGTGATATGCCTGACACTCTGCAGAGCTTATTTCGACACCCCTCTACGACTATGGAGCTTCTTCCCAGCTGCCCTATTCCGCTGTCTCTGAATCTTTAAGGTAATAATAAGCAGGTTGCATTACATTCATATCGGTCGCGACATCCGTGACTTAGGCTCTAAAATGATTCATTTGGAATTGAGGGAGACGAACTTGTTTCACGACTTTTAAATTTCCGACAGCCTTAGGAGTTGGCAAATAGTATTGCAATATCTTTTATACCCTGCCCCTATCATTGAAATACTCCACATCGTTGAATGAAGATTGAATGAAGATTCAACGAATATTTTAAATATATTTGATACTCGGTCTTCTTTACCTACCAACTCTTAGGGCAACATCCAACCCCAGCCAGTGTCCGAACGATATTAGCACGGTTCATTCATCCGATCCCGTCGGTCCAAGCCAAGCAAAAATATTTTCTCACCGAATGATCCACCGCACCAAGTGCGATCGCGGACAAGAGCAAAAAATACAGCTGGGGCTCAACCGGGATTTGAACCCGGGACCACTCACATTATCTCGTTCTACGAGATGGGATTTCGTACAAACCCGAAGCGAGTATCCTACCACTAGACCATTGAGCCTTCCTTTGATGCGATTGGCTGAAACTCTGTTGTTTGACTCTATAGGTGCAATTCTAGTTGTTTGTGTCGCTTCTTTTGACCGAAGAGGCTGAGCGAGTAAGCCAGAAAACAGGATATCTTCAGCCTCCCAGGAAATATGTCTATGGCAAACTATGAAACGTGGCAAAAGGCCTTGCTAGAGTTTCCTCCTTCTGGTAATACGTTTAGTTGTGAGGTAGACTTTGGGTCTTCTACTTGGAGAGTCGATTGCCAGTACAGAATAGCATCCTCTTACAACAAACCATTAGCACATTATGCTCCCTATCTGTCACAACGACTCATTCGCGTGCAGCTCATTCCGAATTCGAAAGATCCGATTATTGATAATCGACTATTCTAATCACTAGATCTTCGGAAGCACCGACGTCTTAACTCTACCACGAGTCACCTGGTACTGCTACTTCCGATACCTACCCAGTCAAACAACTAGCAACCCTTTCTTGTGTACACGCTGGAAAGAAAGAACGCCAGATCGTGGCGCAGCCTGATAGGCCAACTATTGTCCTTACCTCAGTTGTTCATGATCTTCGAGATATGATGTAGGGGTGAGCTGATGTCTAGTATTGTTGGCTTCCTAGGACAGTAAAGTATTTTTGCGATATATGAAAGTGACCGTAATTATCATGACTCACTAGGCTAGCTGAGTTATACGCAGCTCAGTCATCGTGTCGAATCATACCAACCGAGTGGGCTCGCCTAGAAGATACGCATTTTTCGCCACCGAATGCTTATCTCTCCCCACGAATATCTTCCAAATAGACCACCGACACCAGGTGAATACTGCGAGTATGATATGAGTATCGACAGAAACTTGGACTCCGATGATAGTGGCAAAAATACTCGTTCGTAATTGTGCTCCGTAAGGCAAATAGAGTTTCATTCAACATTCTATCACCGCACTTCTCGTCGAAGAGACGGACCCCCCGATAAAGACAAAAAGAAGAACCAATGGTCCCAGAGAGGCTCGAACTCTCGGCCTTCGCATTATTAGTACGACGCTCTAACCAACTGAGCTATGGGACCAGACCAGAGGCTCTTGGATGAGCTTTCGTGCTGCAAACGGGGTTGAAATATGCCGTACGGGGTGAAGTTGAAAATTTTTCTCTCCAAACGGCCCGGGACTGAGTGGGATAGGACGGATCCATAGTGGGCACCACGCGGCTCAAAAAAGGTACGAATAGCAAACATCTAGCCCCAAACTAGGAAAACCAGGGCTCCACAAGCTCATATCTAGTATAGGAAGCGTAGATATCTCCTACTAAGATATTCGGCCAGACCCCTTGGATTTCTCTCTTGACTAGGTACATAGTAGTTCATTCTAGCGAGCAGCAATCCTTGGTAAAGGACATCTATGAAGATATCACCTCGCACATAGTCTCTACAATAAGCAAATACACCCAAGGCAACGATGATGAGATAGTAATAGTATGCACTCCAGGGGTATACGGTTCATGTTCTTGAACCGGCGTGTCTCCACAGGCTCTTTTATGCCTCACTACTCGCCCTAACTCCACCCAAACATCTTAATTAGGACTAAGAATAAAAGTTCTGCTCCCTCTTCCTCTCTTTATTGATACCTCCTACTTAAGTAAAATGGGACGGTCCGTACACCATCGCCGTCCATCGGTAATCTCGCCAGTGGGTGTTTCACAAGCATCAGTGGTTTAGTGGTAAAATCCATCGTTGCCATCGATGGGCCCCGCGTTCGATTCGCGGCTGATGCATTCCTTTTGCCCTTTTTGCTCACATAGCCCATTTATAAAGCCTCAGATATATTCTTTGCTCCCGATACCAAAGAGCCCGTTACTCTGATTTGGTAGCAAGCTATGTCCATTCTTTCTAGTCCGCGAGTTTTGGATCGGGCATGGTTACACTCCATTCCTTGAACTTGGGGATACCTATTCACTACGGGGGATGTTCTAATATGTGGACAGGGGATAATAATAGTAAGGAGTAAAAATACGGGTTCAGAAGTCGGTACGAAAGTCCCCGTAGAATACAAACAGCCATAAATAGACCAGAAATTATAGCAGTAGAACGAACATACACTAGGTAGGTATGTTTGCACATATCCAGTAACATCTGCGACAAGGAAATAATAGCTAAGTCCGTACATGCTGCTCCAATAGCTGTTATCTAGTTCAGCACGCTCATAAGAGCGAAAGAGAGATTCTGGAATAGGTGGTACTGTCACGTGGCGCACCTAGGATGATGGGAAAGAACATGTTGTTCCGCGAGGGACTGGAAACTATCTGGTCTAGACTCAAGGTATACATACAAGATGGTTCTTTGTTCCAAGGTGAAACATCTGACAGGTACGTAGTGATCTCGATTATAACGACGGCTGCCATCACTTCTACTCTGTATATCAGCCAGTACCTAGGCTGTGATGCATGAGTCATTCTGGGACGTAGGTAGATGCCTGATGAAAGGTATGCAAGTGTCGGAACAATATGAAAAAACAATTGGTCTTAATTAATGAGCAAATCTATATAACCTATGAAGCATAATTACAATTTAGTAAATTGTAAGTGTATATAGCATTAGAGGAGGAAATATTCGACTAGTACTACGTGCTAGGCTACCTGTATAATGATGCGGTGTCTTCGTAAGCTGTTCGCGCTGAGTGGTTCTAAAATTGCATTAACCTCGATAGACAGGAGCTAAGAGAGCAACACGTAATTTCTAGTAATAAGATTGTACCATAACCACAGCTTTCAAGCGAACTCAGTGGGTGATTCCGGACAGGTTTCACGGACCGGAGCCGGATATGACTGTGACTTGACGTTACTATTCTCCGTGCTTCGGATCCGCACGCATGGTTTTGATCATACCGGGCCGCTCCTCTTCACGTCATTTAAGGAAAGTGGCCTCGGGATGTCTCGGTAGGAGCCCCTGAGCCGGAATGAACCGGCCGGACCCTTTGTGTCCGGCATCACCCGAGCGTCACCGGGTCATCTCGGTAAGATCAGGGCGAAAGGCGCAGCCACAGCGAGGTAGTCCTGCATGTAGGATTCTTCCTTCACCGTATTCTTCCTACGAACATCACGGGGGCGAAGCAAGGAGACCACACTCACATGTAATCCGTAACATGATCTAGATGCCGCCAACTAAGTTCTTCTCCGATACTTCCCCTGAGATTTCTCAACCCGTGCAAGAACCGGGACATCCCTCACGTACCTAGTGGAAAATCTCGGCATTTGCCATCCGAACCTTCATCGTAGCATAGGTTATTCGCACACCTAGCCCTACAACAATACGGAGAATCCCGACGGGATGAACCATCACCGAGCCAATGCCGTGACGTGCCATCCACATCCACATCCCGTGCCCAAGCCTTCCTGCCTCTCACCCACCTACCCTCACTTCCATGTGCTGGCCCGTGAAGAACACAAGATCGAGCAAATACGAAGAGATCCAAGACCTCCTCGTCGGCGAGAAGGAGATATTGGCAAAGCCATGCCTACCCGCCGAGCCCAACGAGGACATTTAGGCACGTAGGCATCGTAGCACTAGGGAACGTTAGGCCCTCGGTTTCGACGGCCCCCAACCCCTGATTGCCTCCTGTCCCGGGAGAGCGTATATAGTGCAAACCGTTCCAACGTCGCGGAACAATAGCCAAGATAGAACAAGCTTTTTGCGTGCACCGTCGAGGGTTACGCGGCATGATTGACACTACCACGTACGTAATGTCTTCATGTTATTTACCGGTATATGGTCTGCCAGGCAATGTAGGCGCATGTAATATGATGCCATGTATGTCGGTACTATAATCTGCACTGTATATTGCATGTACGTATCTACGTAGACGGTAGGTAGTGATAGGCATGGTAGCTCTGCATGGGTGACATGACATGGCAGGGAAGGACTGTCGGAGACAGTCCAGACATGTGGAAGAGGTTGGCCCCCAGAAACTAATAAAGCCCCGATGCGCATGGCTCGAAAGAGAAATGGATCATATATCATGTCACACACCGACACCGACACAAACACACTCGCAGAATCTATTATGCCGCATGACACCCACTCCCCCATTCTTCCCACTCTTCCTCATACTGAAGAATTTGAATAAAAAACCCTTTTACAAGTAGGATATTTGATTATTATAGCTCAGACCAATCACCTTGGACTATTATAACTCAATCGGTAAGGGAGGGTAAGGCATGAGGGTCGGCTAAGACAGAAGACAGATAGCGGGTAGCAGGATACTGTAGTAGGCGTTTCCAACGACGAAGTCTCGAGGAAGTATCGAAGACTTCTGGAAGACCTCATCGGCTGAGTTATACCACACCGGAAGTATGCCACACTCACCATTAACTTACTGAGTAAACCTGATTAGTCAATCCAATCGTGCTTGCTCTAGGCTGTTCTTCGCCACGCTTATTCAAGGGTCAAAGATCTCACGCATATGTAGTGCGTCTAGATGCGAAATCGCACAGCAGCGCAAAGCTAGAGATGGCGAGCACGTTCGCAATTTGACGGCCGTATCAGACAATTATCTCGTCCGTGACGAGTCTTCCGTCTTATTATCTGCTTTACTAGACGCTGGTCCTGTATCCGTGATATGCATGTTATGTAATTCCCAAGTTCTCTCCAAGATGCGGCTCTCTTGGCATCTCCTTGCCAAGAGACGGGCATCTCGCCAACAGCCGTCTTGCAGGCTGGGCATTCGAGATTCTGGGGACCCCAGGGAAAGCGGACCTGACAGAGCCAAGAGAACCCTAACTAGGCGTTCTTGGGTGTTCTTCCGATATTTCTGACGTCGATTCTTTTGTACGAGGCATTCTGTCCCGTCCCGTATACCATTGAACCGTATCGTACTGTCACTGCACAATTGTACATCCTATAATGCAGAGGGCATCTTCCGCGTATAGTGCACAGCATATGTAGGGTCCCAACGTACCTCATACAAAAACGTGTGCGTGTGACTGCAGGCGATCAAAGGGTATCCTGTACGACGG